CCCACCTCTGGGTCAGCATGCAGGGACCACAGAAACAATTAGTGGGAGTCCCGCAGGGCCAGGATGAGCATCACGCAACACCACCACACTGGGCCAGGAGATGCACGTGAGAGAGAGGTAAGGTGTGCCTGGGCTCGGGTCACCGAGGGGCCGAGCCGCGCACAGAATGGCGGGGGAGAACGTGGACGTGTGCCACAAGAGGGTAACCATAAGAGGTCCACTGAGCAGACAGGTGTGGATTGGGAGAGGGTGCAGGAGACGGGCCACACAGGAGCACGAGTATACGCAGCGGCCTGCGAGGGTGGAGGTGAGTGTGCAAGGCTTTCATGTGAGTGTGCAAGGGTGGAGATGGGGACCCAAAGCCACAGGTATGCGAAGCCCCCACCTACAGGAGGGCAAGTAGGCTTGCCCCCGGGGCCAATGAGTGTTTCAGGGTGGTGAGCAAGGGCAGAAGGCGGGGGCACCTGTGGCCCCAGTCCCCCACAGTGGCCCCACGTCAGTGGGATGAGGGCTGTGCTGGCCCCTTGGCCTCCTGCTTGGCAGCACCCCAACATTGGGGAGCATCACAGATTCACCAGGGGAATCCTGAGAGGAAGAGGGAAAGGGAACAGTCAGGAACCAAGGGGGAGGCCAGAACCAAAGGGGAAGTCCAAGACAAAGCAAGGGCATTGAGGTTAAGAGGGCAGAGTCGGAGTTTGGGGCAGTGTGAGAACAGGACGCAGATCTTGAGACGATGGGAGAAGGAAGCCTCCCATCCCTGGCTTCAGGAGGGCCTGGGACTGTGGGAAGACCAGACCTGCCCTCCTTGCCACCCACCCAAGTAGGACCCCCACCCCAGTTCTGGATACCTTAAGTCACCTTCCCTCCTCACCCTCCCTTCCCATTGCCCCTGCCCTCACCGGTTCAACTGGAAGGCTGGAGCCCCCTTGGACTGGGGCATCCCAGGCCGGGGTCCCCCTCGGGGTTCCTCGTGGTCAGGGGTGGGGGTAGGCGAGTCCCCGAAGGCCCCCAGCACAGTGACTCCAGCCGGGGACAGGTCTGTCAGTGGCTGCTGGCTCTCCTCCTGCCTCAGGGCACCTTGCTGCCCCGAGGGCCGGCGCCGCTTCTGGCTGCGGTCCCAGCTGGTGCACGGAAGAAAGGAGATTCCCTCACGTGCTCCCGTAGCCCTTGCCCTGCCCCCCCCTCCAGCTAAGGATTCCCAGCATCCTCCAGCAAAGAAACTGGCCTCCAGCATTTCCCTACGCCACATCTCCTGGGGGTCTGAGTCCATAAAACTCTTCCCTCATTCCCCAGGGGACTCAGGGATCTGAACCAGCCTCCCAGCCCCATCCGGATTCCCCCACCACCTCTACTGCCCGCCCTCATGCAGATCCAGAAGAGCCATTTCTGTCCTCAGCAGGCTCCTGGCAGCTTGAGTTCTAGTTCAAAGTCAGATAATGACCTGGACACCTGAGTCTAATAGTCTCTCGGTAAGGTGTGAAGGACTGAGTGACCCACCATCAGATGTGTGCAAAGAAAGCTCCAACTTCCTTCCTCTGTCCCACCCACTGGCAGCCCTAAGAAGGGCTCTGCAGACTTGAGTCAGTTCTCCATGTCTTGGAGGAAGTGGGGAGGCGGGATGACCACCAAAGCCCCTGGTACACACAAATAATTCTCCTTCCCCCTGCTACTACTCTTGACCTTTTTTGGGAGAGGGGATGTGCCCTGACTTCTGGCAATCCTCCCCAAGTCTTGCTTCCATCCACCCCTTCCTACCCTAGCCCCAGCCCCAGCCCCATCGCTGCCTTTGCCCCCTCCCTGCCTGCAGCCTTAATTGCCCAACACTTGGTGTCCAGCCGCCAGCACCTCCTCCCCCCAGCTTACCAGAACTTGAAGATGATACCGGTGGCAACCAGAACAATGATGATGGAGATGGTGATTGTGACATAGAGCTGGGGGTCCACACCTGATTGAGGCAGGGAGAGAGTCTGAGGGAGCGGGAGGTGGTAGGAGCCAAGAGGGTGGGAGGTGGGGCTAGGTCTGGGTTCAGGTCTTGCCATGTGATTTCACACTGCCCAGCTCTGCATCTCTAGAACCTCTCTGTCCTTACCGCCAGTTTGCCCCCTGAGGTTTCTGCTCTTTTCTGTCACCTTCCCAAATGCATTTCAACATAGCCATGAGAACAAGCCTCCAAAATCAGAACTGGTCTGTGTACAGAACCTAAGGGTGACGAGACCTTAGTCTCTGCCCTGGCCCAAGCCCCAAACTACTGGCCCTGATCTTCCAGTCACCCTGCCAGTCCCCTTCCTCCACTGTGTTTTCAAGGCCCTGCTCCAACGTCAGTTCTTTGAAGTTGTCACGATCTCTAGGCAGGTCTCGCCTCTATTTTCCTGAAAACGAGCTGCCCGTGCCCCAGTCGGAGCATCTGTGAGGTTGCCTCATGCTGGAGTGTTCACACATCTGTCTCTGTTAGGGAACCTGAACTCTGGGAGGGCTCCCACGGCATCTCCATCCTGCCTGACGCATTTGCTGAGGAAGCTAACACAGAGGCCTCTACTCCTGCCCCTGGGGGTCCTCAACCAGCCACCCCCACCCTCAGCCCTCCCAGCCTCTACTGCTCACCTTCCCCACGGCCCCCGAACAGGAACGGCCGCAGGGTGGCAGGTGCTTCTCCAAGGATGAGCCCATCTCCATCACCCCGCATGGAATCTGAGTTGGGGTGTGGGGTAGCCAGCCCATGAGGGGCTGCAAAACCATAGTCCAGGGGCAGGAATCCAGGATTGGCAGAGTTGGGGTCGCCTCCATCCTCTCGAGACACCGTGGGGCCCCACACAATAGCCCAGGGGTACTGGGATGAGGGCGGCCCCTCCTCAAAGCCAGATGGGGTGGCAGGGGGCGCAGTGCCCGGCAGGACTTGCCGACGTGATCTTGGGACCCGAGGGGATCGGCTTGGAGGAGGTGCCCGCTCCCACACACACACGTGGCGTGGGGCCGAGGGGCCTCCCCGGGCACATGGGGGGCGGGCTGGGGCCGGTGGGGTTCGAGGGGAAGAAGAGGAGCCCTGAGCAGGCGGCGGCAGAGGCAGCAACAGCAGAGGCCAGAGAGGGAGGAGATGGGAGAGCAGCAGCACAGGCCTGAAAGAAGGAGAGAGAGTGGGTGGGCTTATGCGGAGGAGGGCATGCTCCTACAGGGCTGCTTCCCTCCAGGGGTCTCAGTGAAAGCAGGTGGGCCTTGGGGAGACTCTGGCCTCCTTTCCTGTCTTGGCTGAGGCCTAACCCTTGGGATGGAAGGCCCTGGGTGGGGGCCTAGGAAGGAGAGGGCCAAGACCCCAGGGGGAAGGTGGGCTCCAGGCTCCCTCTGCTGGGCCAGACTTACCACATCCTGTACTCCATGTCTGAGGTCTTCCTCAGCTGTGACCCAGATTTTCAGCCTTCACTGGGGGAAAAGGGGGCTGTCACATGGTCACATCGCAGCCCTACCCCTGTGCACCTCCCCACTCCTTCACCACCAGCCTAGCCCAGCCTCTCTCCCAGGCCACGCAGCTGCCAGCCAGGAGCCACTGCTCCTCAGCACCCTATTGGGAGAAAAACTCCCCTAGGGGTTCCCTGCCTAGCCCCCAGCCCCGCCTACAACTTCCCAGGTCCCTGTCACCTTCCCACCCAGGGTCTACCCTTGCTTCCCTGGCTTCCTTCCTTTTCACTTCCTCTGCCCACAGCACCCGGGCTTCTCTTGATCTTAATTTAGAGCCAAGAACCTTGTGATTCCTTGAGCACCCACCGCGAGGGAGGGGGAGGGGAGGGGGGGAGGGAAAGTCAAGCTGGGTGAGTGTGCAGGGGCCTGCCTGCCAGCCCTACCGCTTGCCCTGACACTGACAGGGACGCTAGTCCCTGGTGTCCCTGGCGTTCCTCTTAGGATTGGCCCCAGGAGTCTGCCTCTTCAGGAGAAAGGAAAGATGAGATGGAGGAATGGAAGGAAAGAAGCAGAGGGGGCGGGTTGAAGACACACACAATATAATGTTCGCTTTCAGTGTGCAACCATCCAAATGCATAGGTACCCTTCGAAAGAAGGTGCAGTGGGAAGAGGCCACCCCCTCAGATGTAGTTCTCCTGGGCACAGACAGCCGGGGGAGTCTGCGTGTCGGCTCTGAGCAGGTCCTCAGAGCCAGGGATGGCGGACTCCCTGGAGGGAATGAGGAGGGGGCAATTCTGGGTCCCTGGATTTGCACCTGAATGCTCCCAGTGGAGTAAAATAGGCGAGTCTGGGGGAACAGGATGAGGGGGCTGGCAGGGGGGAGGTTGGTTCAGGTGAGAAGGGGAGGGAGAAGTGAAGGGGCAGGGGGCTCAGCGTGCCCGGTGAGGAAAGAGGCAGTCCTGAGAGTGTGGGCTGGCCAGAGGAGAGAGGGCGCAGGGAGATGGGAACTGGCGGAGGCGGAGGCCGAAGGGAGACAGAGCCAGGAAGGGGCCAGGCTGGACCGGCAGCCAAGTGGAGAGAGTGGAGGCCAGGGGAGAGGTGGGGAGGGGTACAGCAAGCACCACACAGATGACAGAATGAGAAGAGAAAAGGGACCCGCGAAGATGGAGGGGTGGAAATCATCTCCAATTTGCAGGGAGAAGGAGCTGGGGATGGGGGCACGGTGGGGACAGGGAGGCTGCAGGAGGGAGGAAGCACCGCTAGAGCAAACCGGTGACGCGGAGAAGGGCTCCCAGGGACATCTGTGGCCCTCTGGCTCCTGGACTCACTTGCCGCTCCGCCTTGTGCCTCCCCAGCCGCCAGCGTCACCTCCAGCCCCTGGACCCCGCAGTCCCCCGGCTGGCGCGCCACCCCCCAGCCTCTCCCCGCCGCTCACCGACCTGTTGTGCGCAGGAGACGCGCGGGGGGTGGGGCGGGAGCCTCGCGGTGGGGGAACCAGGCCCCATCCCCGACGTGGCCCCCATCCCGCCCATCCCACGGGCCCGCACTCCCCGGGCAGGGCTGGAAAGCGGCGAGAGTGCGGGGAAACGCGGAAAGGGAGGCAGCGGCGAGAGCAGAAGAGGGACCGGAGCAGAGGATGCTGAGCCGAAGGCGGGGATGGCGACTGCCGCACCGAGGAGGGCAGGGTGCAGGCGGGACCGGCAGAGGGAAGGCGCGCTTGCGGCTGCAGGCTCGACCACCGGGGTAGGGCGCGGAGTCGGTGAGAGGGCAGGGCCGAGCTCCCTGCGGGATGGGGTACGGGGGTGGGCGTCCCTGTCACTCACCTGCATATCTGGCGCGGTGGTGAGATGGCTGCGGGCGGCCAGGGCTGCGCGAGGCTGGGGGGTCGCGGCAGCGCGTGGAGCGCGGGGCATGGTCGGGAGGTTTGGCCCGCGGCTGGGAGCGGGAGCTGGTGGGGGGCGGGCGCCTGGGGAGCGGGGCGGCGGCGGCGGGAGATGCTCGGCTCGGCTCGGCTCGGCTCGGCTCGGCTGAGCTCGGCGCGGTCTCCGCCTCTCGCGCTCCCGCCCGTGGGCTGCGCGCGGTTTAACTCTCTCGCCGCCGCACTGCAGGAGTCGCGCCGAGCTCTGTCCTTGGTGGAGGGCTGGAGAAGGCGGCCGGGAGGGCGAGGACCACCTGCCTCGCTAAGTTCTGACCGCGGAAGTCTCTACCGTCTGCGCCGCAACGCCGTGGGCACCCGCGGTCGCCCGATGAGTCTTCCAAGCTCTGCGTCTCCGACTCTGTTGTGCCCTCACCCCCGGTGGAGATCCGTGCCCGAGGTCAAGGCCGGGAGCCGGGGGTAGGGGTGGGGTGTGTGTGTGTGGAGCAGAAGACTCCTCGGCGACAACGGATTGCCCCAACAGCCTGAATCCTTTATTCCCCTCTGACCCTGCTACAGAGCGTTTTCTTCCGAAGCAACCCAAATGGTCTTTAAAACAGGGAGATGGGGTCGCAATTACTCAGCTCAGAAGATCCAGGCCTAGCTCCTAGGCAGCCTTCTACCTCCTTCCTGAACACGTCTATGCCTCAGCCACAGCCGACCTGAGAGGTGGCCTAGGAGACAAACCTAGCCTGCCTCTGCGCCTTTGCACTTGGCGTTCCCGTCAGAAATGCTCTCTCCTGGGCTCGCACAGTGATGCCCTCGGTTTTTCCCAGAGCTCCAGGGGCCTCTCCCCAGTCCCTGCCCACCGAATGACTCCGTGATCCTAGGCTGCACTGCTGGGACCCGGCACTGCCCTGCTTTCCTTCAGCCTCACCGACTTCTTTCCCAGGCTTGACCTCTAAATGTTGGCGCCTCCTAGGGCTCAGTCTTGGCGCTCTTCTCTTTCCACATTCTCTGTCCAGTGATCTCATCCGGTCCCAGGGCTTAAATACTATGTAAATGTCAGTGAGTCCTAAATTTATATCCAGAGCGCCAGACTCATTTATCCAACAGCTACTTGACATCTCCACTTGGATGTCTAATAGCCATGCATAGCAAACGTGACTAAAATGGATGTGTTGCATTCCCCCACTCCCGACCCATTTCTCTCCCTGTCTTCCCCATCCTGGAAAATAACAACTCCTAGCTGTTCTGCCTGGAAACCTGCGAAGCAGCCTCCCTTTTCCCCCTTTCGCTGATTCCCTTGCTGGTATTCACCAGCAAGTCCTACAGGCTTTGCATCCAAAATCCATCTACTTTATTGCCGAAACCCAGACTCACAGCGTCGTCTCACAAGTGGAGTATTGCAATAGCTCCCACGCTGGTCCCTCAGTTCCACCCTGCCCTTACAAACCAGCCTTCACAGTATCAGTCATATTTTCTGTGTTTAAATCGAATCATGCTGTTCCCATTTAAAATAGTTGAGTGGCAGGGGCAGTGTTGTGGCACAGCGGGTGAAGCCTTAGCTTGCGACACTGGGGAACGCAGTGGAGGATGATGGCCCAAGTGCTTGAGTTCCTGCCACCTTTATAGGAATCCCAGATGGAGTTCTAGACTCCTGGCTTCAACATGACCTGGCCCGGGCTGTTGCTGGTATTTGGGAGAAAACCAGCAGATGGAAGATCTCTCTCTCTCTCTCTCTCTCTCTCTCTCTCTCTCTCCCCCACCCCCAACACTCTGCCCTTCAAATACATAAATGAATCTTTTCTTTTAAAGAAAAAATATTTATTTATTTTACTTGGACGTACAGAGAGAAGGAGAGGCAGAGAGAGAGAGGGAGAGAGGTCTTCCATGCTCTGGTTAACTCCCCAATTGGCCGCAACAGCCGGAGCCTTGCCGATCCGAAGCCAGGAGCCAGGAGCTTCTTCCAGGTCTCCCACATGGGTGCAGGGGCCCAAGGACTTGGGCCATCTTCTACTGCTTTCCCAGGTCATAGCAGAGAGCTGGAGCAGAAGTGGAGCAGCCAGGTCTCCAACCAGCACCCATATGGGATGCTGGCACTGCAGGTGGCAGCTTTACCTGCTATGCTACAGTGCCAGACCCAAATAAATCTTTTCTTTAAAAAAAAAAAATAGTCAAAGAGCTGGCGCTGTGGTGTAGTAGGCTAAACCTCTGCCTGCAGTTCTGGTATCCCATATGTGCACTGGTTCATGTCCCAGCTGCTCCTCTTCTGCTCCAGCTCTCTGCCATGGGCTGGGAAAGCAGTAGAGGATGACCCAAGCGCTTGGGCCCCTGTACCCATGTGAGAGACCCAGAAGAAGCTCCTGGATCCTGGCTTTGGATTGGCCCAGCTCTGGCCATTGTGGCCATTTGGGGAGTGAAGCAGTGGATGGAAGACCTTTCTCTCTGTCTTTCCCTCTCTCTGTAACTCTATGTCTCAAATAATCTTGAAAAATAAAGAAAAAATAGTCAAGTTTTCATCGTACTTGTAGTGATTTTAACTTCTTGTAAGGAGAAGCCCTCCAATTTGTGTCCTGCTTCATGCACAGGGCTCCCGCCAGACTGGACTTCCTCTTCTAGGACATCAGAGACCATCCTCCCAGCATCCCTCTCCTTTGATCCCCCTCCTGGAATGCTTCGCCACCCCTTGCCTGGCTGACTTCTTCATGTCACTCAAGTGTCTGCTCAGAATCTCCAGCGGCCCCCACTCTATTTCATTACCCAATTTTGTTGCCTTTCCTACTTATCCCTTCTGTTTGTGCAGTGTCTATTGTCTGCGTCCTGTCCCCACATATCCTGGAGTGCCCGGACCTCACTGGCCTACTTCACTACTACATCCCAACTCCTGCCACAGTGCCTTGGGACACAGAAAAGTGACCACTGTTTATTATGTAGTGAACCTCTCCTGGGCCCCCTGCCCGCTCTGAGCTGTTTGCGTTTCTGTCCTCTGCTCTCCACCTCTCCACCTGCCTTTCCTCCCTGGCCTCTGCCCCTCCCAGCACTCCCTTCCCATGTGCTGCGTTAGTACTGCCATTAGCCCTGCACTCCCGCCTCCCGGAAGGAAGCATCCGCAGTGCCGCCCTCCGCTTGCCTCTCCCTGACAGCCCTTCATCTGAGGTCAGAGCAGCAGTGTGAGAGCTGTCCTCCCATCGGCAGGAGAGAGCCGGCACACGCAGGAAGGAATCTGGCCACAGGGCCGTGTGAGGCATGGTGCATAGCTCCTGCCGTATTCTGGCCCCGGTGAGCCTTGGTGCATCCTGAGGAGGCGAGACAATGAAGTACAGAGTGATGAACGTGTCTTCAGATGCATTTCCAGACCTTCCCACGCTCCACAGTCTCCACGTCCTTGCCGGGTCTCCAGCTCTGCTGGGATCTCCACCACTACCTCTGGACTTGCTCAGGGTTCCTGGCATTTGTCAGGGAACATTTCCGTCTGTCCTCAAATGTCCAGTGTCCTTTCTCTGAACTCTCTCTCAGTTCACAGTCTTGTTGCTTTTCTGAGAATACACAAGTAAGCTGAGGAACACGTGTCCATCCCACCATCACGTCCCAGCCCCACTGATCCCCCTGTGGGGCACCTCTGCCCCTGCCACCTTCCCAGGGCCATCACTCCAGGGGCTGTCGTCCCCTGCATCTGATACTCACTGCCAGCTGCACACGAGCACGCTGTGGTCCTCCCGTGGAAGCCAGGTCCCCTTATGCCCACCTCCAGCATCTGCCCTTCTCTGCCTCCTTGTACAGCAAAGCTGTCTCAAAGGATGATTTCCAGCCATTGTCTCCTGGACGTCTCTGCCTGTTCCTTCTCCATGATCAACTGGAGTCTAAGTATTTAATTTCTGTGGTTCTTTTCTTTTCTTTCTTTATTTTTTAATAAGATTTTATTTATTTATTTGAGAGGTAGAGTCACAGACAGTGAGAGGAGAGAGGTGAGAGGAGAGAGAGAAAGTGAGAGAGAGAGAGAGAAAGGCCTTCCATCCACTGGTTCACTCCCCAGATGGCCACAGTGGCTGGAGCCGGGCTAATCCAAAGCCAGGAGCTTCTTCCAGTCTCCCACGCAGGTACAGGGGCCATCTTCTACTGCTTTCCCAAGCCATAGCAGAGAGCTGGATTGGAAATGGAGCAGCCGGGACTTGAACCAGCACCCATATGGGATGCCGGCACTGCAGGCAGAGGATTAACCTGCACTACAGCGCTGGCCCCAGTTCTTTTCTTTTTTAGCAATTTATTTATTTGAAAGGCAGGGTGACAAAGAGAGGGAGAGAGATATACCATTTGCTAGTTCACTCCCTAGATGGCCGCAATGTCTGGGGGTGGGCCAGGCTGAAGCCAGGAACCAGGAGCTTCTTCCAGGTCTCCCACGTGGGTGCAGGGGCCCACACATTTGGGCCATCTTCTGTTGTCTTTCCAGGCACAAAGCAGGGAACTGGATTGGAAGTGGAGCAGTCAGGTCTCCAACCGGTGGCCACACGGGATGTTGGTGTTGCAGGTGGCACTTAAAGTCTCTCTCTCTCTTTCTTAAATAGAACTGTTTTATGAAAGTGACAAAATTTTATTTATTTGAAAGGGAGGGAGGGAGGGAGAGAGAGAGAGAGAGAGAGAGAGAGAGAGAGAGAGAGAGAGGTCCTCTATTTGCTTGTTCATTCTTCAAATGCCCTCAACAGCCAGGGAGGGCTAGGCCAGGCTGAAATCAGGAGCCCCACATGGCAGCAGGGTTCCAAGTAAGTACTTGGGCCATCATCTGCTGCCTCCCAGGTTGCACACCAGCAGGAAGCTGGAGTTGGAAGCAGAGGGAGGACATAAACCCAGCACTCATATATGGGATGCAGGTGTGCTGAGCAGATCTCAATCACTGTGCCAAAGCTCACCCCTCTGTTTTCTTTGTCAATTCCTCCTCCTTCTTTTTTTTTTTTTAAAGATTTTATTTTTAAAATGTTTTAAGTCAGAGTTACACAGAGAAGAGAGGCAGAGAGAGAGAGAAAGGTCTTCCATCTGCTGGTTCACTCCCAGCTGGCCACAACGGCTGGAACTGCGCCTACCCAAAGCCAGGAGCCAGGAGCTTCTTCTGGGTCTCTCACTTGGGTGCAGGGGCCCAAGGACTTGGGCCATCTTCGACTGCTTTCCCAGGCCATAGCAGAGAGCTGGATTGGAAGTGGAGTAGCCAGGTCTTTCCCAGGTCATAGCAGAGAGCTGGATTGCAAGTGGAGTAGCCAGGTTTTGAACCGACGCCTTTATGGGATGCCAGCGCTCTAGGCAAGGGTGTTAACCCGCTGTGCCACAGCGCTGGCCCCAAAAGAGAGGCCTTCTGTTTGCTGGTTCACTCCCCAAAAGGCCACAACAGCCAGTACTCAGCCAGGGTGAAGCTAGGAGCTAGGAACCCCCCATTTGAGTCTCCCACGTGGGTGGCAGGGACCCAAGCACATGAGCCATCATCTTCTGCCTCCCAGGTTCATATAGTAAGAAGCTGGGCTAGAGTGTGGAGTAGTGGGGACTCAAACCAGACACTCCGGGCCAGCGCCAGGGTTCTCTAGGCTAATCCTCTGCCTTCGGTGCCGGCACCCTGGGTTCTACTTCCGGTTGCTCCTCTTTCAGTCCAGCTCTTTGCTGTGGCC